ACTTAAGCTTACTGGTGTGTGTGTGACGTGTATGGATGGATATGCTTTTCTAATATGTGCTTGTGGATGTTGTCAAATGCAGATCACTCGTCTTCTACCTGATGCAGTTGGCACTACTTGTGGCCAACGTCTTGAGAAGGTGTTTGGAACTGAGCATTGCCACATTCTACGAGTTCCCTTTAGAAATGAGAAGGGAATTATTCGCAAATGGATCTCAAGATTCGAAGTCTGGCCATACCTAGAAACTTACACTGAGGTAAATTTTTGATCCATGACAGTCTTGACACCCCTTCAAGCATTTTGATGTTTTCACTTGAATTTTTAACATCCGATGCAATTATCTCTTGTTATTAATAGGATGTTGCTCATGAGCTTGCCAAAGAGTTGCAAGGCAAGCCAGATCTGATCGTTGGAAACTACAGTGACGGAAACATTGTTGCCTCTTTGTTGGCACACAAATTAGGTGTCACTCAGGTTTGTCTATACATGGGACACTTTAGTTCAAGTTGTAATATCTATGGAACTCAAGAGGCCTAAGTTTTTTCCTTTATTCATTGCAGTGTACCATTGCTCATGCACTTGAGAAGACCAAATACCCTGAATCCGACATTTACTGGAAGAAATTCGAAGAGAAATACCACTTCTCTTGCCAATTCACAGCTGATCTCTTTGCCATGAACCACACAGACTTCATCATCACCAGTACCTTCCAAGAGATTGCTGGAAGGTGAACTACCACGCTACCCTTTCACTATTATTCACCGTATTTGTTCCTTTGTCCAATTTTACTTATTGATTAGCTTACTAACATACTTGTATCACTGTATAAATACTTGTACAGCAAGGATACTGTTGGACAGTATGAGAGTCACACCGCCTTCACCCTTCCTGGACTCTACCGTGTGGTGCACGGTATTGATGTCTTTGATCCAAAGTTCAACATTGTGTCTCCCGGAGCTGATCAAACCATTTACTTCCCATACACTGAAACTAGCCGTAGGTTGACATCCTTCCACCCTGAAATCGAAGAGCTTCTTTACAGCTCAGTGGAGAACGAAGAGCACATGTTAGTTTCTCACCCTCTCATGTCCTTGATACATTTGTTGTCATCACTATTTTTTTCATCATATGTTGAACATTTGTCTAAGTCAATTCCATTTGTGACAGATGTGTGTTGAAGGACAGGAGCAAGCCAATTATCTTCACCATGGCAAGGTTGGACCGTGTAAAGAACATCACAGGACTTGTTGAGTGGTATGGTAAGAATGAAAAGCTGAGGCAGTTGGTGAACCTTGTTGTTGTGGCTGGAGATAGGAGGAAGGAGTCAAAGGACTTGGAAGAGAAAGCTGAGATGAAGAAGATGTATGGTCTGATTGAGACCTACAAGTTGAATGGGCAATTCAGATGGATTTCCTCACAGATGAATAGAGTGAGGAATGGTGAGTTATACCGTGTGATTTGTGACACAAAGGGTGCTTTTGTGCAGCCTGCAGTGTATGAAGCTTTTGGTTTGACTGTTGTTGAGGCCATGACTTGTGGGTTGCCAACATTTGCCACTTGCAATGGTGGTCCTGCTGAGATCATTGTGCATGGCAAGTCTGGATTCCACATTGACCCTTACCATGGTGATCGTGCTGCTGAGCTTCTTGTTGACTTCTTTGAGAAGTGCAAGGCTGATCCATCTCACTGGGACAGCATCTCAAATGGTGGTCTCCAGCGTATTGAGGAGAAGTAAGCAACTTGTTCTATCTCTCTCTTGACACTAACCCATTACATTGTGAATGTGTTTTGTGTTGTCTAGTGTTATTGCATGTTACTAACCAATGCCCATGTTTCAAGGAATCAATAAATAAGAAATATATTTAAAACATATTTAAAACTATATGATGAGTGTATAGATAACAAATTTTAATAAATCATTTAATTCTTTAACCAATATTTTTAATGTTAGACTTTGTTACTGGCCTTTGTTTTAGTTGTGGGAATGGTGGTTAAGATCGTTCTTCTTTTGCCTTGGTTGCACAGGTACACATGGCAAATTTACTCTCAGAGGCTCTTGACACTCACTGGTGTCTATGGCTTCTGGAAGCATGTGTCTAACCTTGACCGCCGTGAGAGCCGCCGCTATCTTGAGATGTTCTATGCTCTTAAGTACCGCAAATTGGTATGTATTTCTTGACCCTTTTGGCATATTAATATATTACTCACTTTTTATACAATTTTCTCTTCAAAATTCATAATGTGTTTTTTTGTTGATTTGACCATAGGCCGAGTCCGTGCCCCTTGCTGTTGAGTAAACTGACGTTGAAGAGTAGATACAAGTAATGGAGGAACCGGCTTTTTTGTCATTTGGAGTTTGTTGTCTTGAGTTCTATAAATAATGCCGATGATTTTTATTTTGTGATTATTAAGCCTTGGATAAGAGGAGGAAAAAAAAAGAGTCTTTTTCTTTTTTCCTTTGCATGATTTGAATCTCTGATTGGAAAGCTTGGAATTGGGGTGTTTTACCCATCAATTCAATTTTAAGCCGTGCCTTCTTCACTTTGTTGTCCATATTCCCATTATTTGAATCTCCCAACTTTATTTTTATAAATTGCAGTTCCTTTTATCTTAATGCTTAAAACCATAACGAAACATCATAATAACTAGAGTATTGTAGAACAAAGGACACCCCCCCCCCCCCCCCCCCCCCCCGGGAATTTCATCCGTTATTTTCTATCAATTGGGAAAGAAAAAAGTGAAAATGGACGTTGGAATTTAGATGTACATGTCATTGTCAAATCTCATTGTTCGATTTGTATAATTCCCAGATGGCAATTGGCAATGCAACTCCTTTTCAACTGGGCTTTATGTATTATTGGGTCACAAAAATTCTGCGTCTAGTATCTACCAAAATAATGAATAAAATCTGACATAAGAAGAGAGTTGTTGGCAATGGATGAGTAGGTTAAATTTGGTATCTTCTGGCCCCCCTCATCCAACGGGCCTTCACCTTTTAAGGTATGTAAGTTAGAGCCAATCCTTGGGGAAAAGAAAGACAAATTAACGTTATTGGTTGTTCCCACTTTCACTTTAGTCAAATAACGCTCCCTAAAATTACTAACCTTTTTGTTTGCTTCCTTCGTGTCAGACACACACAGTGGGAGAAGCATTTTCATGTGGACCGTTTATATCATCAAATTGGATTCTATCAAGAGAAGATTTATATATAATAAATAAAATTCCATGTCTATGATATACGATTTTGTATAATTCTTTAAATAAAAATTTACAAAGAAATGGATAAAATTTTGATGTAAAGAATAATTATTTATCTAATATATACTTTTGAAAAGTTTTAACAGTGACTTCTTAGGATCTCATGCTGCTTCCATATCTTAGCTTATTTGAATCGCTTGGCTAGGACAATTACCCGTGGGCCCCGTGAGCATTCATTCTTTTCCCATGTCATTTTCTAAATTCAGGAAGAAATATCAATCTTAAGAGGATTAAACAAAACCATTTTATTTTATTGATATTCAAGTTGTGCTTGTGATTCCACTTACCGGTGTTATCACAAGTTTCATGACAATGAAAACAAAGTCCAAAGCACAAGAAGTTTGATTCGGAGTGCTCTTATCATGTTGTCAACAGGTGCTAAAATCATTTGACATTTCTATTGGTTTTTGTCCATAACTAGATCCGTATACAACAAAATATTGAATCTTTCTCTATCGTTGCTGATTTCGTGTGTTGAATCATTGATTATGAAATGAAAATATGTTTAGGGTTGAAAATGGACAACCAAAGAAAAAACAAAAAAGAAAGGTTGAAACATCTCATCCATTACTCTTGATGGTGATATTAACCAACCTTTCACGATTTGTAGCTTCTTTGTGTTGCAATTTGACCTGTAATTTCCCTTTTTTTAATAGAGAATTAATCGATATTGTTTTTAATTGCTATTATTATATAAAAAATATATATTTTTAGTTCTTGAAAGCATGAGGATTTTTTTTTATATAAAATTTTTATCCATTAGACACAACAAATTTTAATTATGAAAACACATTTAAATCTATTATATACTCAAGAGTTTTTCTTTTGTCCCGAAACATAAATATGAAATTAATGCCCAGACTTCAAACTTTTATATTATAGATAAAAATACTTAGGATTTTTTTTTGTTTTTATTGCAACTAACAATTGTTTGGGTATTATTAATTCAAAATTTTAATTTTTCTTAAATAATTGTTTTCATATTAATTATTTATCAAAGCTTAGATTGTCTTAATTTTCGTATTTTACACCATTACAATTATATTTTGGGTCTCGAGTTGAATTTAACAGCAACATCGTCATTGTGGCTTTATCCCAATACGTAAAAGTGACTTCACCCCCTGAGAATTGTCTCGAATATACACCGTCAGTTAATGGGAAGAAGAGTTATATTGGAAAATATTCCGATCGTCAACTGAAAACACGTGTTATTATGTTAAGTTCAATAATATTAAGGGTTTAGGCAAATCCAAATGCCCTTTTGCTTTAACAGCAGGGTATATCCGACCGACCCAATTGGACCGTTCATCCTCACCTTGTGAATTCCTCAAAAAGCAAAACGCCATAATGTGGATTAGTGATTTTGATTTATGTAAAGTGGGTGCCTTCGGCTAAAAGCTAAAAGTGAACTCGTCTAATCTCGCCATTTTTTAGTGTCAATTATCTCGATGATGTATAATTTTTCTTGGTACAAATGATGTATTTGTAATTGAGCACGAGAAGCCAATATAACTACATTTGTTCGAGAAAAAAAAAATACAAATGCATTTAAATGGGAATTTCTAATATTTTCTCCAAGAAAAATCAAATAATAATTTGAAAAACTGCGCTAGAAAAGCCGTTCAAATTTAACGTAGGTTGTTACCATTTATGCCCTTCTATGAAAGATTAAGGGGAGGCAGGAAATTTTGCCCCAATGTCCAACCCGACCTTTTTTCTTGGGCTATAGAAGAGAGAGTTAAGTAAAATGGATTCTCCTCACTTTAAAAAATATTAGTCACTCGTGACTAAGTGTTACAATATAAAGATGCCTCTGAAAATGACAAACATAAGAAAAAGGAAAAGAGGAGAGCAAAACTTAGCTTACACCGTCCTAGGGTCTTATATCCTAGCTCAGTAGCTCCTCTGCATCAAATGATAAATAGTGATACAACTAGCAAAATTTACAGTAACCGAACTGTACACTTTGATTGGCTAATAAAGTGAAAAAAACAAAATACAAAAATCTTTTTACAAACCTGTAGTTTTTCTACTTACAAAATTGACCTTGTAAATGATACCTAAAATCTAAAACCCACAGTCACTTGTGTTTGCCTCTAGTTCAAGACGAGAATTCTACAAGATAGTAAGCCTTTAATTTTCCAATATTCCATCTTTCTTTGCATGTCCCTCTATTACTGTCTTCACATTCTACAAGAAAAACTTGGACCGTGTAATGTAGAATCACAAGTTACCTCCAATTTTGGCAATATTAGCATGAGGCCATTGCCAAATTCATAACTCTAAAAATATTAATCATAAACTTCTTTTGATTCCTGAGCTTCTCTTTTTTGTGAAGTCTGTCTAGGGTAGAGAAGTATTGCTAATGATAAAGAAAATATCAAACCAACTAAACCACTAAATGGTTGAAAAGGATGAGTCCCAATTATCCAGGGAGAAAAGTTGCCCTTGTTATGATATGTTAAAAAACAACCCTTTTGCAAGATAAAAGTAGATGCCATCATGCCTGCACGGAGCCCGATAGGGATGGAGAGGCTGCCTCCATTTCTCTGCCGGGCACCTGACAAAGAGAAAGACAAAAGCCAAAGTCCTGGTATTGCAAGTAGCGACCTGAAAATCCCATCAAAAGAGAAGATAAGATTGACTCCAAAGAAAGAGAATGAGAATGGATTATAATCTCGTCTGATAAATACAACAACAAATCAAGAAAATAAAAAGGAGATATTTAGTTAAAAGGATACATCTCGCTTCAAAGTAGGAAGAAAACTATATAAAAGAGGAGAAAAGTTAAGGAAAGGAGGCTTTGACCACCAAGCACATAAATGGTGAAGATATTTGAATCGGGCTATAGCCCAATTACTGATTTTTGGGGTTGGGAACCATCATTTCATATGGTATTGATAGTTTCATGTGACTTGATCTCACAAATTCCATAATCCACAATCATTAATGAATTAATTTCCATTCCCTTTCTCGGGGAAGAAACTCACTTTAGGTGATTTAGGCGTAAGTATACAAGACCTAGAAAAGCTCCAATAAGGATAGTAGTAGTAGATTAGATGAAGGATAGTCCAATCTCCAAAGATAAAGGGAGGAGAAGAAAAACTAAAAGTGAAACAATCATGAAGGATTTAGAGGTTAATTGTTTGTTTATAGGCATGATTTGCAATAAAACTATAACATTGTTTGATACATGTAGCCAAACCTATATAGTAGGAAAAAGCTGGTGGTTGTTGCCATACCACTCTTTTTCGCTCTTTTTCTCTTTCATTTGTCAAGACAAATGATTTACAATTGTCTAGTAAGATTACACGAACAATGATAGGCCAAGTTTGGAATTAGGCAGTAATAATTCTGAATTGGTTATTAAGTCTTGCCAATTAATTCTCTTTTCTCACCTCTCAATAACAAACTCTTCTCACTTGAAATACTTGAAATGTCCCAGGTTCGGATGATAGTGATATATAAGTTGTGTTACAAACTTGTAAAAGGTAATGAAGGTATCGAATTATCATTCCTTATGTTCTAAAGGGAAACACTCCTTGTTATGGAAAAACCTTGCTTTGTACTCAAAACTAGCCTACAATCTAGATAATTTTGATAATTTATTTAGAATTTAGTGTTTGTTTCTTGAGTCCAACAATTGGTCTTGAAGAAGATGCATTTGGGTGAAAGGATTGGAAAAGCATGTGGAGGAAATGAATGCTAAGATATAGAGACTAATTCTCACCACTAAGGGTCAAGTAAGAAAAATAGATGTTATTCAATATGTTTGCACAGATTTTAGAGGAACAAGAGAAACACTTGACAATTTAGATACCATTCAGCCATTGTTTAAGGATTTGATTAATCACAAGGGACAATTAACAAAGTGTAATAAGTATATTAAGTGTTTTGTGCGAGTAAAGTTCATGGAGAATTTCCTTATTATAGTCTTAAATTTTGACTTAAAGTTTAACTCAATTCCAAAAGTTAGCTTGTAATTTGAGGATTATTTTAACTTTTATAAACTCTAATTTTATTATATTTGTACTTGATGTGTCACTTCAACACACCTAAGGATGCTCAAGATTGAATATTTGGACAGATTTTTTTTAATATTACCTTAGAAAAGCATATGGACCAAGTATGTACTCTAGGAAAAGTCATGAGATTAGGTAAGTTGTGCCGAAAAATCTAAGGGGTTAGTTTTTTTTTAGTCAACAGTGACCTAATATCAAATTTACAATAAACTTTTATATTATCTTAAATTTAGACTTAACATAACTCGACTCCAAAATTAAAAAACTAACTCATAAGATGAAAATTGCTTTAATTTTTATAAATTCTTATTTAGTCATATTTGTAATTAATGTAAGACTTCATTGGGCATCTTATATCTATTTATGAAGGGTTTCATTATCTGAATTGGTGTATTATATGAAGAATCACATCATTCCAATTGGAGTCTTTCATGATAAGCTACATCATTCCAATTTTTGTCTTCCATGAATAGTCATGTCATTCTAATTTTTGTCCATTTTATATAAGAACATTTTCCTTGGTTCAAATCATGTTTACAACTAACTTGTGTGACACATTATAACATTGGAAATGATAAAAGACAATTCATCAATTTGAATGAAACAAGATAACTCTTAAATTTATATGAAATGAAACAACTCTTCATGTTTTAGAAAAAAAATTCACAAATATTGGTATTAGGTAACTCTCATTGATAGTTAGTTATAACATTTTAATCAATTAGAAGATAGTTTGAATAAGACACATTGTCTATAAATAAGAGGAGTGCTTAAAAGAGAGAGATCTTATCGTGTTGTTCGAGAATTAAGGCCTTTCTTGATATTCTACGAGTTAGACATTGTATTAAGGGGAGAGATCCCTGATTTTTTCTAGTAAGATTCCAAGTTTTTATAAACTAACCGTTGATACCAACATATGCATCAAATTCAAGATATTGGGATTTGTGAAAATGGCAAAGGGGTCACTCAATTTTTGTGACATAGATATAAGACTGACTAGCTGTTGCAACACAAGGTAGGACTTGGTTGTTATTATTACTTGCTAGTTATTATTCTTTCTTTTCTGTCGAGGCAGTTTTTTCTTTGATGGAGATTGTTAAATAAGTATTTTAAACTATCTAATACAGTCTTGTGAATTAAATAAGCAAGAGTTGACCGTAAAATGGAGTAATTAACTGGGGATCAATTCAAGAGAATTGAATGGGACTTGAATGAGGGCTGAATGAAGAACAGAATATGCTTGCAATATTTCTCCAGCATTTAGCATAAATTGAGGTGTAGGGGAGAATAATTCAAAAAATGTGCTTAGGTATACAACTCTGTAGTCAGCAGTGTTATTTAGCACGAAATGGTTTTAGTAAAAGTGTAACAGAAACCTTTTTTAACCATTTAGGCAGGGATTACTGTACAGGTGGAAATGAGTCAGGTCATACCTATTTGAGAGGTGTAATGCATGAATACAATAGGCAAAAACATGATTCCAAAAAAGAAGACAAACCTCTGGAAGAGAGAAAATGCCAATCCTGAAATGATAATTCCATGATGATATCCAAGATCAACTGCAATTTCCTGGGGCAACCATGACCTAAAAAGTAATTCTTCCACCAGTGCAATAGCACTTGCCATTACAGTTCCTTGAACAACTGCCAGAACCATTTGTCCATACACTTTTAGCCAAGTCATGGCATCAAAAGAAGTTGGAGTCTGAGGCCAAGAAAAGCTTGCACAACCAAGGAATGCATTCACAGCATGGATTGACAAAATGATGCCGACTCCGCCAACCAAGCCTTTCAAAAATTCAAATTGCTGCAGTAAAGATCCATAATTAGCTTATATTTTATGAACAAGTAGACATGCCAATTAACGATATATTCAATAAAAAAATTCATATCCTCTTGAAGCTACGCTCACCCATTCCCAAACACAAATTTGAATAAGAATAATATGTCAAATATATCTTGACATGTATTGAAGAAAGACCGACCAGAGCATTAATTCCAATCAGATACAAGCAACATGTATCAAGATTTATAATCACTTACATACTAAATAAATTATAAATTAAATGAATGTGCATATTGAGGAAAAATAACAATGCGAGAATTGATATTTATATGAGGAAAAAATATTGTTTAATAGTCTCTTATACATTTTGTTCCTCTCCATTATTTCCTTTTCTTCTCTTGCAATTCAAAGTATAATGTAAATATTAACAACACCTTTCATCTAAATTAGTGCAGCAGACAGGAAATCACTAAAAATATTCCAATGAGTGTCATCTAAGCAATGTTACTCTACCCATCAAACACAACTACAGGGAATGTATATGCTTGAATGGATAGGCTCCTGGTATGCCATTCAAACAGTATCTCTAAGATAGCTAAAAGGCAGAGACTATGGTTCATGAAAAAATGAGCCCATATTGTGAAACAACGACTTATGCTGTTAAGGGCCTGAAATGATTTTTAATAAACCAGCAAAGCAGCACACCCTGATATGCAAATGATCAGTGACTTTGAAACATGACAAAAAGGTCAACATTTACAAGTATCATGTACTGAAATGAAAACTTTTCTGGGCTGAAATGTTTTTATAAGGCAAGATAATAAGAATCATCCCTTTTCCATTGGAGAACTAGGCCTTAACACTGCTAAATGATAGAAGTCTTGGGATGAAAATGTAGTACTAAAGATATAGAGGAAGGAATTTATGCTTAAACAGATCTCAAACCCATCCAAAAGAAGGCTATTCCTTATGGTTTAACAACCAGGGGAAATAAAAGACCTAAACTATCATTAAGAAAATTGATTGATCATCTATGCTTCATCCTTCAAATCTTGTTATACAGGATGACAAGACCATAGTTAAAAACAAATATTAGTTGTTATAATAAATTCAATCCTAGACTAGGTAATTAAGCAAAACGCAAATATAAAATACCAGTGCAAGTTCCAATGCAGTAATTTTACAGTATCGTGAACACCATCAATAACAGTAATGTATGGTAATATGTAATTGAACTTTCCCCTCTAGCAAACAGATACCATGTCAAATAACCACTAAACTGAAAAAGCATCAGTAGTTCTCTAAAGGTCTTGGAGCTATTTCCATAACACTGTTCATTGCTACATTCTAAGTTTCTAACATGTAGTTATTCCAAAAGTAACTGGTGTTTACCCAATTCTCCTTCTCCAAAAGCAACTTTTAGCGCACACTTCATTTCTTATATCTTAGTGTATATTATCTATGATAATAAATTATGATACATGTAATTTTAATTTTAATATAGATATTTAAAAAAAAAAAAAAAGGGAAAGAAAGGATGAAAACATGAGTGACAGTTTCATAGAAATATCAGGATAATCTCCATTGGTTTTTATCTCAAAGCTTTACCTTTTCTGGTGATGTCAAGTCCAACCCATACTGCTCAAATGCATTTTCGTACCCACGGATTCTTTTCCCCCATAACATAACAAGTATCATTATAGCAGTGTACAGGCCAACAATGCAAGCAAACTCAGCTATTTTGGATGAAGTCTTTGTTGTCCAGCTTTGAACAATTGTTGGAAGCAATGGAATGGCAACAGGAGACCATAGAACAAGGATCATGCCAACAAATCCAAAAATCCTAGAAGAGAAAAAATAGTGAAGTTAGAGTTATGTGAAAATATAAATTCACACTCTCAGGCAATATGCACAATATAGTAAAACCTAGAGAACATATACATTAACACTCAATCAATGGATGTATGTTGGCTGTGGAGTGGAGGTCCCTAAGACTTCAGGGAATGTTCTTATGCTTCCATCATGATTTGACCGTTATACCTCAGGCAATGATTTCTTTCAGCCAGTATAAAGAAACCATAGCCTTGAGGACAAGGTGAATTGCCGGAAGGGAGGGGGGGTAGTTTGTTAGGGTCTAGGTTAGGAATAAAAAGAGGATCAGGAGGGAATTAGAATCCAATGCTGTTGATAACAGAATAACTACTTTATTGAGTAATACAAGGGGATGGGGGGAGTTAGCCTAGAGTCAGTTAAAAATTGTCAGAAGGAAATTGGGAAGGAGTGTCCAAGTCTCCTGAATATTTGGGTGAGGGATAGAATTCTCTCTACAGCATATCTACTCAATATCACACTGATACAAGGGCAGACACTGATTCCTTAGTGATAAGATTACACTTATTCCTCTTTTTCTGGTCCATTTCCATTGCATCTGTATAGTCTTAAATCCTTAGCCAGATGCTCAATGAGGTTGGTCAGGTTGCCTAAGATTTGGAGCTTCTAGAGGGAAGCCTCATAGTGTCACTTATCCAGTTTTTCATATCTCTGTTTTAAGAAAGGCCATCTCTCCATGAGTGTGTTCCCAGTCCCTACCAGCTGTGTTGATTTTAGATTGGGAATCGAGAGTGTAGCCTCAACAGTTGCTGAGCTTGCAAGGAAGAGCTCTAAAGAGTAAAGAGGTTTTAGAGGTACTCGCCAAATGGCAACACCTGACTTGCTAAGAATTTGTGTGAATCAGTTGCACCTAATCAGGAAACCTCGAGGACAAGGTGAATTTTTGGGGGAGAGTACTGTTCATAGACATCTAATGAGGAGAGCCTATGTTTACAAAGAATAGGCAGGAGTAAAGAATCAGAATGAGGAATATTATAAGCCCAATAAATATATATAACAAACTAACAGAAGAACTGTTGGTACTATTATGATTTATGACTTATAGTGTAGTTAGGAGAGAATTGGAGGGAAAGGATAGTCATAAGGTAGTTGGGGGAGAGATCGATGGTATCTTCCTAACAAAGACAAAGCAATGGGAGAGCACTAGGTATCTGGAATACCTGCCATTAGAAAGCGATACTTACATTGTGTCATTATAGGCCACTTATTCTGTACCATACTGATACTAATCACAATCATTTAAAAAAACAAAAAACTTTCCATCTTAATTTAGCTCCAGTCCTATTACTATTTCTTTTTAAATTTCTAATGTTGGTTTTCCAACTAAAACTAACATTTGGGCAGGATATATTGTGGTTAAATGAAATCATTGCAGTTTCTATTTTCAACCAGTAATTCCAAAATGGAAAGTCCAGAACTATCAGCACGGGGAAAAACATAGAATGCAGTGAAGATTCACCATTTCAAGTTACCTATGAAACAAGGGACGTTCAGCAATATGTAAGAATGAGATAAGCCTGTCTGTCAAACTCATTGCACCACGTATACCACCCCAAAGCAAAGCAATCTTTCCAACTAGCCTCAAAAATCCTCCTCTCTGTCCTAAATCAGCTAGCATTGCAACCAGTCTGTTCATTGAAGGAAGTTCTGTCATATCATTAGAAAAGGAAAAAAAAAACAAACCCAGTGGAGCACATGCATATTGGTAAAATGAGTACTCTGACCTTTCTTGATCCACCCCACCATCTTCTTTAGTAGGTACAACTGGACCGGCAACTGACATGGCTTTTTCGGCAAGGCTTGTGACTATGTTATTCTGGCTCTTAAAGACTTCCTCCTCAAATGAATCTGACCCTTTTTTATGGTGATCTTTCATTTTCAAAGATGTGGATGAGCTATTAGCAGTTTCATTTTCTCGTTGTGAATCCTGAAACAGAGCAACTTAAGTATAAAATTCAGACAACTCTGCTTACAGGCAACTGGAAGTTTAATTTTAAAGCAGTAAACTGGTATCCACACATCTGCTTCACTACTTCCTGTTCTCCTCTCCTTTGTGGGATACAAGCAACTTAAGTAGGTAAAATATTAAGTTGATTCTTTTAAATTTTGATAAAAAAATCATATATCAGAACAACTTCAGTAAAAAGTAAATTGAGTACACAAAAGGGAGATAACAAAGGAAACACTAAATAATAAGTAAGACAACACGCAACAAGAGAGACCAATGCATGCTTTAGAGAAATATATGAGGTACTAGACACACCAAGGTAATTCTTAAAGTAAGATTTTTGGAAGAAACTGCTAGTTGTCACTGACATACCATAGTGCCATGCCTGTATATAGAATGACATATAAGCAAACCAAGTAATAAAATAAAACACTTGATGCCTCTTTGCATGCAAGACAGGTTTAAAATTCCAGTCACGAACACTGAAAGCATATGAAGAGATTGACTAACACCTGCTGCATAAGTAAAGCAGAAGCCCCAAGAGCAGCTGTAACAGCACCAACCATGACAGTATTTTTACTCGTATCTTCTGATTCACTTTCTACTATCTTTGTCTCAACGGGATGGCCCAAACTAGTTTTCTCTTCCAATAATTTATCTATCACTGTTACACCTCCCACGCCATAATTCTGTTCGCTAGGTTTTTCCCCATCATCAAAGGTCAGAGATCTTCTCTGGCCATTATCTTGAAGTGAAGTTACATTAAAATATTTCCTCAAGGAAGCTAAGATGGATCCAACTATAACACCAACAGGCATCACTTTTCTCAGGCAGCTAGTCTTCTGAACAGAGGATGAAATTATCCTAATAATATGTTCTCCATCAAGAGTACCTAGCTTTTCTATAGAATCCTCCACATTATGACCGTGAATTTCAGTGTATAGTTGTTTCACCTTGCTATGTACAACAGCCAATGAAAGTGCATTTGCCACTTGTTCCAAATCTTCAGCAAGCTTTGATTTCATTTCTACCATTTCTGCAGCATTCAGCTTGCGACCAACTTCCATCTTCAAAGAATCTAACACTCTCTTTTTAACAAATTGTACCAATTCCTCTGACCTGTCATCACTGGTATTGGTCATTCTACTCTCACCATCTGTTGCTATGAAATTTTTGACAGGTTTTTGCTGCCTTTCAGTATCTAATATTACATATGGTGGCTCAATATATTGCTCTGCTTTAGAAGACTTTACAGATGATGGGGGCTTCATCTTGTGCCCAGCCTCCTCACAAGTCTCAGCATTAGAAGAAGCAATTTCCATGTTTTGTGGTTGTTCGAAGAGTTTCCATTGACCTTCTTCTGGGAAATAGTCAAGCAATAATGCAGTTGTTGTGTCTAAATCAAGTGGTTTGGTAGGAATCTTTGAAACAAGATATTTACGGAGGTATTCATTGTAAGGAGAAACCCTGTATGAATCTGCAGCTATTAACTCCGGCATCCTATTAATGTGTCTGTGTCCATCCAATTTATCAATTAGAAATCGTTTGTCAATCAATTGAGTATTCATATTACTTCCTTTCTGAATTAGGTGGTCATTAGAGTTACTATTTTGAGAATTTAATACACTGTTCCCATTAATTTTGCTGAGGCTTTGAGTTGGTTGTTCTGCTGTATGACAAGAATTATTCTTCGAGTACCCACTATTATGGTAATCATCTTCCAAAGGCTCATCAGATGTGTTGGAATCCTTTCTTTCACTATTATTTTTTTTCATTTCTTCTAAATTGTGTTCAACATCTTTTTCCTCCTTGACTTCATCATTCTCTGAGCTCTGCTCAAGCTGAGATAGCATATTTTCAATCACACCAAAAACACTGTTAACAGCCACTTGGGTGGAATCGTCCATCCCTGCCAGGGCATCCAATGCTTGAGAAACACTGAAGGCTGGGGTACTAGAGTCTGAATTAGTAGAGTTAGTTTGGAGTGAAACAGGCTGCATATTCTTGTTATCCTTTTTCTCACTATCATTACCTTCATTTTCAATTCTCTGGTGCTTAGAGGATGTAGAAGGTGAAGAGGGTTCGTCTTTTGCATCAGTTGAAGATGTTTTACTTTGATCACTGGAGAAATCCTGAGTTTTCTGTTCAACCTTGAGGATATTATTTTCCTCCTTCGTGTCTATTTGATCTATTCCACTGTTTTGGCTTTTCTGCTCACCAACGGCTGCTGCTTCAAATCCAGCTGCTCCATCAGGAAGGCTTGAAGTGTATGGTTTGGCACCTGTTTCCAATCCATTCTTGCTATGATCAATATCCGGAACAGCTTTTCCTGTCGATTCTTCATGTGTGTCATTATTGTCTTTAGACTCATCAGTTTCCTTCCTAAGAGAACTGGAAGAACCAGCTTCATCACTTGATTCTTGAGATTGGACTAAATTTGTAGAATTTGGTGATTTCTCGTCTAGGGGAAGAACATGTGTTTCTGTTCCCTCAGCAAGCTCACCCACACTACTTGGAGCATTATCAGAGTCATTTATAGGACTACTAGTCTTTTTCATCTGATTAACAGCGGACTGATCTTCAACCATAACTTCTGGACCTGATACTTTGACTTTTTCTTGGTTCTTTTGCACTGATAATGATTCAGGAGCCTGAGCAATACTTAGAATCCTATTAACCTTCAAGTCAGAGCCCCTTGCATGCAAAATTCCAGTCACTGCATCTGTTAACTTTCCACGGACATCTTCTGGAACAGCATCTTGTAAAGCTTTCATGAGTGTCTCTCCCTGACCCACAGCAGTTAATACCTGGAAATTTGTCACAAGTGTCACTGCAATTTCAAGATTCTACAAGAAAGCTAGAATTAAGATAAACCATTACAGATGTTACATAACACTAAAAATAGAATAAAGAAAGCCATGTGACCCCATGCCAAACATTTAAGCATAAATAAAGGCTCATGACAACTTGCCCGGACAAAATGAGAATATAAAACTTTTTAAATCCTCTTAACAACATAAATAGAAACTGAGAAGCTAACAATTTGTAAATAGAAGAGAGCTTATTTTAGTTGATCCTCAAGAACCTAACAGTCTTTAATATTTTATAAAGGAAGAAAATAAATAATAATAAAAAAAAACAGTAAGGAAAGAAAGAAAATGTCATATTATCCTTGAACAGTGGGATAGTACCAAAGTTTTTGATAAATGATTGATAAACTTTAAGAAATAAACAACCCAAATTATTTTGAAATGTCTCTTTTATCTATAAAAGAATCAATGAGCATAAGATACTTTGAATAAAGCTTTCGTGTTTGCCTTAAAACTTTTATTTATGAGGTTACATCTTAGATAAGCTCTGCATCTTCTTGCTTCTTTCTTAGGCCATTTCTTTCTATAATATTGACAGGTTTCAAAACAACACACACACACACACAAAAAAAAAAAACTCTAGCAGCAGCAGCTATATGATTTAAACTAAAAATGTAGAGTTCGCATTATAAAATCCACACACCCCCCCCCCCAACTCTTCCAATATTCAGTAGGAGTATATTTAAAAAAAATGAAGGATCAAAAGTTAAATCTGAATGATATTATAAAACTTTTTAATATGATAAAAAGAAAATCTCCAAGCAGAGGATACATGTTCCAGCATCTATTGCAATCTGGCAGGTGGCTCACACCTTATTGAGGTCAAACCTATAAGTTCTCCCTTTGCCTTGTTCTTTACCCAAAAAAATAATTAAACTAATGCAATACAGAACAAGAAATAAGACCTCCAAAAAGGAATAAAGCTTTATCCTCTACCTTTTGCTTCTTCTCTTCTGTTAGAGTACCAGGCATGGTAACATCAAGCATATTTATTACCACTTGCGCCGTCTGTAGAACTTGACCATGTTCACTATCTACTGAGGCAACATTCTCCTTTTCAATCAAATCTGCATCAGTAGAGCTAGTCTGCTGTAATGGATCATTTTTTATCTGTAGATCTTTTTGGGACCTAAATTGGATGCTAGCATCATTCTTCTCTTCTTCTACGAAATCATTAGTAGGATCAATAGAGTATCCATTAAATGCATCTGACCGAGTAAGATCCAACAGTTTGCTGACTTTAGCATCTTTATTTGACCTTACTTGCTCTACAACAGTTAATCCTCTAGAAGGATTTATGGTAACATCTATATCTGTCAGAAGAGGATGACGGCCCTTCAAGAGTCCCAGTTCCACTGCTGTGAGCCACTGCATATATAGTATGAAAGAATCACAGCGAGAATAGATTAAAAAATCTCATGTTCAACAAAGGGAAAAATAAATTAATAATGATAACATCATTGTTTACCAAATATATCAAGGAAACAGGAAAACCTAGCAAGAATATAGGTTTTTCATGACAGCTATGTACCCATATATCTAGATGAAAAGTATGTGAAGCAAATTCCCAACAATAAAAATTATAGATCTAACAAACATGATAATTTTGTGGGTTTTTATAGTTTTATATCTTAGTTTCACACAAATAAGACAGCATATTCATCCATAACTAGATAGAGAAAAATAGTTACCTCAATTGCTAGAAGCTGACACCATGATAAAGCCGACATTTCAGTATTAGTAACACTAGATGGTAACCAAGAACATAGGAGCAAACTTGTAAATGGATTTTCTGCAATCAGATTCCGTGGAACTGAGAACATGGGAACCATCCCATTATCACTCTGATAAAATATACCACCGGTAAGACTTTAGTACATTTGCATACAGGAAGTTAATACATAGCTAATAAAAATAATATGAAAATGAGATAGTTTAATTAAAAAAATGGAGTCATTTGCAGAACATTTATCCATGTTAGACAGTTAAAACATGACATCAACAAAGATTTATAGATTATTGTGAAGCACTGTCAAATCCTACAGTAAAGAGAAAAGCGGGAGGAGAGAAAAATAGGGAAGGATGTTATTATATGTAAGTCACATTGCTCACATGTATTTTATACAAACTGTTTTTGTTTAGTTTGTATAGCCATACATCTCTATACTATCCAAGAAATAAGTCTAAACTCTATATTAAATAATAGTACAAGTAGAGGCAGTGGAGCCATTAACTCAAAATTGTATCTTCTCCAGAGCCTAATTTTCTCTCTGTCGCAAGAAGTGAAAGTGAAATGCCAATAAAAATGCTTGTGTTCTGTTTTTGTTTGTGATCTCCCTTTTCTAGGTTTTGTCTTGTCAGTTTTTTTTTTTTTTGGTGTTATCTGGTTTGAGCAAATTTCTGCACTCTAGTGGATACAGAACAGATGAATCTATTAGAACATATTTCAGTTTGTAATAATTAAATAAGGAAATTACAGTTGTAAATAATAATAGTTTTAGAAGTTAGTTGACCGGTAAAACTGGTAATTGATTGTATAAGCCTTAAAAGGCTATAAATACCCTTGTAATTCCCTGTTATTAAAAGAAAGAGGAATTCTCAGTTTAGTTTGGCATTCTCTTTCAATAGTTCTCTTGGTGTGAGCATTATTGAGGGTTGTGAGTGTTCTTGAGTGAGGATCTCAAGAAGGTTAGGAAAGAGAAAACTTCTTAACACAGTTCAATACTTATGTTGGAAACTTTTATTTAGCTGTGAAATGCATTCATTACTTTGAAATGGCTGGTAGTATCTGAATTTCAGGTTGAGTTTACCAGGTCATTTACACAACCTAGGAATTTCATTTTCAATTGTTTGTCACTGGAAAGGAATTATGAGGCCATAGATGGCATTGGAGATGATCCTCTCTCTCTCTCCCCCTCCCCCCCCCCCCCCCCCCAATCTATCTTTCCAGCAAGTCATAATTGTTCTGATATCTTACCAGTCAGTTAGACACAAATGATTGAAATACAATTGCAGACAGTTCTGCTGTCCATTGAGGATAATCAGGTGCATAATACTTTCTCCCAAAACAATAGAGTATTTAATACATTAATATTCAGCAAAAATGCAGGATGTGATTAATCAAGTGGGAATTTAAGTGAGATGGTGACATAAAGTGATGCATGATTACCTGTATAAAGAGAACAGGAATTTTAACATCCTTAATCATATTTCTTGTGCTGGATTTTGAATAAAAATCTTCTACATTCCCAAACCCATAAGATACCATAGATATTGCTTCTTCAAAATCACGTACGGATTTTGCCAACAGAGCTTTTTCCACGTCAAAACCTTTTGTTTTGCCTTGGAATAGTGCCTAGAGAATAAGTGAGTTTGTAGCTAAGTAATAATAAATAAAAAATACTGTCCACAAAAGCAAATTGTACGGGACATTTCGATGCAGGCTAGGTGAAAAAAGTGGATGAAAATTGAAATCAATTAAGTTACCTTATTGGCTTGTAGAATATCTACCAGTCCACCTGTGAGTTTCTGATCAGTCACTATGTTATAAGGAGAGGACCTTGTAGCTTCATCTAAATCAAAAGGATTGTCTATACATGTGGCAGCTGTCAATGGTGTTCTTTCCCCAACCTCTGCAAGGTATTTTGTCAGCATGTTTGCACCATATCCCCAGCCAACACCCATCAAGGTTGTCCACGGCCTTGCATTGTTTATATATGTTATAGCTGTGCAGATATCATCGCTGTCAGCAGCTGTAAATACCCTACAGAAAATATAGTTAAGAAGTCCTTACCATTGTCTTATCTTTGACATAAATCTTTAAAGAGAAAAACGTACTATTGGCTTTTAATCAATGTTTGAAATTGTGTACAAATACATACACATGAACTACGAAAGTCCTAAAATCCCAAATTGTTACAACCAGTGCACCCCGGTCACTCTAGGGGAGCTAAATCCAACCATGAACTATCCAATGTCACAGATAAGATACACTACTCAGCACTTCGTTTTCCACTACACAGATTCCCAAAAGACCTAGCATGTTCAAATGAATACACGACCTCATCAATGCAACATAGCATACCTACCATTAACCACAAAAATTGACAACAATTAATAACTATTGACTGCCTATTAATAACTTTTAAAATTAAAAAGAAAAGATTGTTATTACCGGGGAGTGGTGAGAGGTGAAGCCGCACATCCTCTGGGGTTCATGACAACAGGGAAAAAGCCCCTCTTGAGAGCTTCAAGCACAAAGAACCTAATGTTACTGTCCATGCTCCCTTGAGGCGTTCCTGGAACAAGCAAGAGCGTAGAATCCAATCCACGCTCCTCTTCCAAATCCAAGTTTGCAGGCCAATCCAACGAAACCACACCTCCATCATCAGCACTCACGCACACTCTCTGATACTTGAACAACTCCTCATCCTCCAAATCCCTCCCTCTCTTCGGCACCTGAATCCTCCCACTGTTGATGCTTACGTAATGCCTCTCCTCTCTCACCAGCCTCTCGCCCACGCCCTCGAAATCACTCCCCTGAAACGAAATGGAAGGACACCGAAGCAGCACGAAACGGTTAAACGGCGTCGGAGAGGCGAAGAGGATCCACTCGCCAATATCGGAGAGCGAAGAATCATCGCGAGATTTGAAGCGTGAGAAGAAAAGCGCGACGCCAGAAGCGAAACCGAGAGCGGGAGTTATGAAATCGAGAGAATTAACAGAGGGATATTGAGCGATTAAACTGTGGAATAGATTGTGAAAAGGTTCGGGTGATGGCGGAATAGGTAAGGAGGAATTGATTTTGATCCTTCGGCGCCTATAAACACGAAATTGGCGAGGTCGAAAGGGTTTGGCGGGTAGAAAGGAAGTTCCGGCAATCGCCAACATCGTTTCATCAATCAATGCATCAATCAAATATCGTTTAACTGAGGGAAGAAGAAAGAGTAAGAGATTACATATGGTTCCGGTGAACCGCGCCGCAAGGAGGAGGCCTCAACGGTCCAAATTCGATTGTCGGTTAGCTCACCGTTAACGTCGACGAGCCATGCTATCGTGTCACGCGCCCACCGCCTTTCCTTTGCTATCGCCTACACTGATCCTTCAATTTCTTTTAGTTTAATCTATTTATTATTAAATCTAATCTCATATTAATTTGATTGTGATAGAGATAGTGGTGTGTATGTCTTTAATAACAAAAATCAACGGCCATGTGCGCGCGCGCAAAGTAGTTATTTAGTTCGGTGTTGAATCCTTCACTCTAGAATTTCAAAGAACGTAAAAGAAAGGCCCATTTCCATTTCCCATTATCGATGATTTTCAAAAGTGTGACATATTAAGGAGCAAAAATACAAATAAGGGTCTCAGCTTCGTTGTGTCTACGCAAATCTCTTTCTGACACTCTCATTCAAATACCCATAAATAAATAGGGCCTGGTTATGCTTTTGCCACGCTTGTTTCCGGCCTGTTTAAAATACTTCATTTCTCTCTACCAAAGAGAAAAACTCCATTCTTTTTCTTTCTTTTTTTTTGCGTCGTTTAAATTTATAGTATAAAAGTTATGACAGAAAAAATTATAGTATAAAATTTAAGAAAAATGATACATATTTTAGCTTTTACAAAAAAACAAAACTTAATTTTTTATTTATCTCTAATATTCATTAAAAGTGGCATTAAAATTATAAAAAGATTCATATCATCCTTACATGGCTTATATATTAAGAAAAAAAAAGGATATATTTCAATATTTTACAGAAAGAAGACATATTTAAATTTTGGTATTACTTTTTAAGTTAAATATCAATTGTGATTTTGGAGTCGATTCTTTCTTGGCCCAATGGTAGGGAAATTTTTATGAAAAATTTAATGATGTATTTGGATACACTTAAAAAAAAAAAAACACTTTTATGATATTTTCATTTTGTTTTCATAATCTCCAGTTTCTGACATATGAAAATATAATTAAGTCATTTTTGTGAGTTTTAGTTTTCCTCAATATCTAATTATCTCAATTATTTTGAACATGTTTTTTTAATTAAAAATTATTTTTCTTTAAAAAAACGACAGACGAGTTCTTAGTGAACTGTATTGTTACATTAACCTTTCTTGCAATAATTATCAATGTTTTTTTTTTCTCTTAAAATTTGTATCAACCTCTTTGCTTTGTTTTCCTACCTGTACAAATGAGATATAAACGAAGAATATGTATTCTAAAAATAAATATTAAGTGACATTTAACTAATAAAATCTGAAAGAAAAGTAAACTTAAACCAGTATGAAAGCGACTATTACATTATGAAGGGGACTGGATTTACTAGCTAGTTTTATATAATCACCATCAAATCCCATCTTATGGGGTTTCTGATACGACTAGTTATTAGCTAATCAATAAACCAAGTTGAATGTTGATTCATCTGAATAATATTCTGAAAGATGTAGTTTTAGCTAATTTAGTAGTGATCCATACACGGATTCCTGTTTACGTCTTAAACAAGCACATGCTCTGCCTCACTCATAATCAGGTATAAAAACCAGATTTTGATATCCGTTGTTTGTCTTATATTTCTATGCGGCATTCCTTATCTTATTTCATAAATGCAATGTTTTTAACTGGATAGTTGATACCACTTACGTACGCTAAAACGATTTTCTTGAAAACAATAACATGCATGGTAGAAGCTAGCTCGTCGCAAACAAACAAAAAATAGTGAAGGGTAGAAGCTAGCTAGAACGTGCTCAAACCTTAGCACATAGAGCTAGATTGCTACGTTGATACGATCCTAGCACATGATGAGATATTGGGCGCCTCCAATTGGAGATCAAATTGCATCATAATCGAAATAAAAATGATATAATCATATTGGTTTTGACCGAATCCATTAATTATTTCAGTTTCAGCCTTATGTACATATCCAGTATATATATTATTCGTTTATCAGGGAAACTTATTTAGAACTAAACTCGCTGAATTTTGTCAAACAAGAATGCTCATCACATATTCCATATATATTGAGTGGAGTCCAACTCACAAATTCATAAACGATATCCATATTTTTCATTCACATAATCATATGCATAGTTGGATGTACTATAATCCCATGGAGCACTCTAACTCTTAAAATGTATATTAAGAAATATTTTGTGTATTCATTTTACATTTGTTTCTAATGGGATGCCTAATTTCAATTCAAAATGCAAAAGGAGGCATAATACCATTTATAATAAGATTCGAATATAATCCGTCCTGACCCCGTTTAAACATGCGACATGCAGTTGTATGGAGACGTACACTAGCTATTGGCCCATTCACAAGCAATATCCAGCTGCCTTATATCTTCAACTTGTTAACGTTGTTTTTTCTTTCCCTTCAAAAATGGTGACGCCTAGCTACTGAAAACATAAAGATAACATTTGCTTTGCCATAACTAATTAGATAGTCTACAAATCTTAATCATCCAAGTCCAAAACCATATAATATGTTTGGCTTGGCCTGGGGAAGATATATATATGTTGATTATTATTCATTAATAAGTTAGTTAATGTTAAGTTATGTCTATGAATATTATTAAATAATAATAAGGAATAAAAAAATTCTCAACAATATGTGCGTGTATGATTCATCACTCAATTCCCACAATGCATAAAACAATCCAAAATTATCAAATAATAATCAATTACATCTAATCAGTAGACATAAAAGTGGTGGAAGGGAGTGAAAGATAAAAATATTATATATATATATATATATATATATATATATATATATATATATATATATAATAATGTGATAAAAAAAGAGAGAGAAATATATAATAACCCAAAGTTGTTAACATTATCTATGGCATCGAAAGCCCAGATTATTGAGTTTTAAATAATAGTACTAAATGTGTGCAATCAACATGTTGTAGCGACGCTGATTAATTACCAGCAATATAATGCACATGGAAAAGAGATTGCTAATCCAACAAAGATCGATGTAAATGATTCATCATTTGGTTTCCCGTCAATGAAACCATCCAAAAAATTCAGGATTAGGCACCTATAAAGCCTTGTTTATTGGGTTTCTACTTTCAAATAAAGCTTAATGTATGTTAGCAGTGAGGGGTGTTGCAGCAATACTGATTAATCAACAGTAACATCAAGCACATGGGAAAGAGACTGCTAATCCAACAACGATTCCCGTTCCCATTCAAATTTTAGTTTTAAAACATGCACATGCTCCCCACGCTTAGGATGATAAACCATATGCTTGATATTCTTGCTTTGTCTTGTTTCTACTTTCTTCAATCCGGTGAGTTTGTCTCTTTATACAAATACAACGTTTTCTATGTTCGCGTCATTAGTTTTTTTTCTTTCTTTAGAGAGAGAATGTATGATACAAAGTATTTAGTATGCAGATGATTAATAATTAATGACTAGATTGATATGTGCTAATCATGTCTTCTAAAACCACAATGCATCGTGTCTCCAATCGGAGGTTCAATTTGCAATACGGTCCAAAATGTGAGCTTCTATTTGCACTGACAAAAACCAAGTTGTCCCTATGGCCTAATAAAGTCAATACGTTAACTTCAATGATTATAATTAAATTTAAGTAATTGAAAATAACATTTTTTTAGTTTTAAAATTATGTATTATATTAAAATTAAAAATATAAAGTATAAAAATATTATTTTTAAATGCGTAAAATTAATCTTAAAGATTGAATGTTAACAAAATCATTAATATATTTAGATAATAATTATGTGGAGTTTCAATAATTGATGACATGGAGAATCTGTCTATAATGCATACAGAAACCTTGCCTGAACGTGCGCATGGTTTTCTTTTTCTTTGATATGTCTAGTTATTTACGACTTTAACACTTGTGTCATGCTTGATTTTCTTATTTTTCACTGGCAATATGCCGACATAACTCAAGAAAATGATATTAATAAGTTATTTGTAATATCCTTAATCAATCATCACTGGGAGCTTAGTCATATGAGATGACAAGATTATGTTCGGCGTCTCGATGATTGATAAGATATCTCAACTATAATTAAATTGAAATATGATAGTCTACTTTTTTTATATATTATTATATAGTGAAAAGTATTAATTTTTATGATAAATATTTCAAAATTATATCTAAAACATATTTAATTAATTAACGTTAAAAAATATACTGAAATATATTAAATTTAATTTTTTGAATGTTATTATTATTATATGAATAAAATTTATGTTCTCCATTTATACGCACACAACTACGATTTAACCATATGAAGATGCCGAGTCCATGTGTTGCTCACATGGCTCTGCCCCCTGAATGCCGCGTGTCTCTATCAAGCATTGTATAAAAAGTATTTATACCATCTTTATCGGAAAATATTTTCTGTCATAGCACTTATGTTTAAGGGTAAAATGAAATAGACAAAGGAAAATATAATATATAAACATATGTATATATAGTATAAAAATGATATTTGATGTAGCAAAAAAAATATATATATGATATTTTATAAAAAAAATCTTTTAAAAAATAAAGTTATAGAGGCAATCCAATTCAACTTAATTAAATAAAATTAACTTTATTTAACATATTGCAAACTCAACAGGCCGAATTATGATCGTCCTTGAGAAAGCGCAAGGTGAGGTAATTCTATACAAAATGAGAAAGAGTGAAGAAACAATAAATGGAGAAACTGTGACATCATATCCACCAAGTATATTTTTGAAGCATGTACGATAACATTGTTAATTAGCTTACTAGATATTGATAGTCCATATAGCAAAATATTTTAAACATTTAAATAGCTCACCTATAGAATATTTTGAATATAAATGCGTTTTCCTTTTTCAACAGCAATAAAAGGTGCTTTCTTTGGTATTCTTGCTAAATTTAAAACTAGAGGTAGTTAGCACCGGTTGGTTGTTGGCAATTCTAAAGAGAGTAAGGTATTGTCTTTGTCTTTGTAACCTCAATTTACAAAATTAAAACCATAAAAAAGGAGGAAGAATAAAACAAAGGGTATGGTCTTATATTTGGAAATATTCGAGAGTGAAATCAAACTAATTAACAACATGAATTGTTGATTAGAAAAGATAATATAGGTTAATAGGTTGGAGACCTTGGCAACATACATGCACATGTCTGTCGCTTTCGGTGCCAAAAGAGCAACAATAAAAGGGATAGTAGACTATTTCTAGTTGGAACTTCTCTGTGATTTATCAATAAAAGACAACAATTGTTTACTCCCTTCAAAATCAAATGTTTTTTAAATTGTTAAGTTCAACTATGCTTCTCAAATTTACTGTATTAATTTCTGCATTTGGGATGCTCTTCATTAAAAATTATTTTATTTAAATCAGTAAAGTGAAAGTTTTATATGACTATTATTAATCGGCCCTTCGATTTTCTTCAATTTTGGACTCTTCTTTCAACTTTTTGTTTCACGTTGCACGTGCGTGGGCCAAGCACGTAAAGACGCTAATAAACTAACATATTCATGTAGCAATAATTTTTGTGTATATATACTCATCAATTACACTTTGCATTAGAGGTTTATGTAAACATGTTTTATCTTTAATTAATATTGAACAAAACATTGAAGAAAAAAAAAAGAGATGATAAAAATATATATTTTAATTTTAATTTTCACTTCATTATGTGACGGTATATATGATTATTTATTATTATATAGTTTGCTCAAGAGTATTACAACTAAAGCGGCATAAACATTAGCGAAATATCCCATACACTTCACAAATACTTTAAATTTTCTAAATAAAAAAATCATATTATAAATAAAAAAATTTAATATTTGAAACTTTTAAAAATGATTAAAAATTTATTTTTTTAATCATAGACACGTCATCTTTATTAACATGTTGTATCAAAATTTAAATTCAAAAAAATTAAGTTTAAACTATAATTAAATTTAAGTAATAGTGTCTGAGAGAAGGATCATAAAAAATATTTTTTAAACAATAAGATTATAATAATTTAATTTTATTGATAAATGATGTTTCTTTTATAATATAAGCTACTAAAATAAATTAGTTTACTAAAGAGATATAATTTGATCAAATATACTTTTATAGTTATAACAAGTTAAAAGTTAGGTTAACTATATTCTTAATTATTGTTGTCAAATTTACAGACAGTAAAGTGGTGGGAAAAACTACAGTTAATAAAATTATACAAAATTGACGTCAAAAGTAGGAATTTATAGCATTGATTAAATGGACGACAAATGTATGTGTCAGAAACAAACACCCAAGGTTTACATCTTCCGTAACCAGCGCCAAACCCAGAAAATATTTATTGGGCTACAGTTAAATTATAAAATCAAATCAAACTCCAAACCAGTGAATAACACCATTGTATGGTCTAAAGTCACAATCAATGTTGTGCTCACAATAGTTTTGGGACGAAAATGGTTAACCAGCAATTTTAGAATATTAGTGAAGAAATTAAATATTAAAATATTTTTATCAAAAACATAAAATATACTTATTTGTATATTTTTATTAATTCTTTAACCAATTTTTTAGGTACGAGTTAACAAGACCTTTTTGAAATAATCAATATAATGACTATTTTTTAAAAATAATCAAACGTATTTAAATGTATATTAATTTTAAAAAAAACTTTAGAGGAACCATGGCTACCCTTAAATGTAATGTACGTAGTTCCACCCTTAGCATATGATAATAATATTACTAGCGAACAACAATACGTTATATCTACAGCTCATATTCACATAGAAACTGATTATCGGCTACATCATTAAGTTTGAAGAATAAAAGATATATTTATCAAAAGCTTAATTAGTTGATAGTATATGTGCAAGTCATATTTACGTAAAAAATTACCATTAATTTAGATGCTAGTAAATCAACGTTACACAAGATCAATCAACATGGCTTAGCTGCAAATAGAGAAAGAGAGAATTGATATTCACGTGAAAATTTTACAATCGTTAAATTTTAAGTACAGATGAGACGTTCATTAATGACCTAGACAAAAATATAACACACAAACTTTCGTATTAATAAGGAAATTTACCAGTGATTTAGTCGAAGGCTCATATCTGCTACACTTTTCGCCCCTGTTAACGACATCGAAGACTTAAGCAAGCTAAACTTTGACCCCTTGTTGAAGACATGTCCAAAGAATCTATAATGGATGACAAAGACATTGTCGTATTGATTTGATAGAGCAGAAATTTACCATTGTTGTAAAAAAAAAAATCACTTTGCAGCGATGGATCTCTTTGTCCGTTAGTACGATTGTTGTTGCCCAGTCTTTGAAACAATGACTTCATCGTTGTTAGGTTATGATGGGCTTATTTGTGTTACAGATCAAAAATTGATTTTCATTTTTTAATAAAGAATATGTTTTATAAAAAGGTGTTATTGAATAGACAATATCAAAATATATTTAATTATTTTTAGAGTTTTTTATATTTTTTCTATCATTTTTATTTATTTATTTTCAGTTGGATGTAAACAACTCAAAGGATGTTGTCTATCCAACACTTCTCCGAAACTGCAGAATTATTGACAACTTTCTTGTGATTGATTTTTGTTGACGCTACAGTCTCCACTGACAGGTTTGTTTTTTGTACGTGCCGCTAATGCACTGTTTCACTGCCACATATTTTTATTGTCCAATCTTTAAGGTTGTTAAATTTTACTAGCAACTCATTTTCAATACAATAGTTGTTGGTAACTATCGTAAGATTTTAACGAGCTTTTTTATATATTTGGCTTATAAGTCTTTCGTGTTCTCCTGTCTTACGTCGAATGTCCATGAATTTTTTTACGTATATAAATCGTTTACTACTTAAAAATATAAAAATTATTTTTTATTTTTAATATAATACTCTTTTTAATATTACTTTTTACTAACTAACTAATACAATAACTTTAATATTTTTAATAAAAAAAATATTTCATAAAATAAAATATTTTTAAAAATATGTACCATGTAATATTTAAAATGAGATAGAAATAGTAATATTTGCTACATATAATTTTTTTTCCGTAACCAAGAGATTTTGGCTAACCGCATGTAATGATAAAAATTAAAGTAGTGATATGTCTTTTAAAGTCTTATTTATCTTGGTGTTACCCATCTTTCTTTTCCCACATTCTTATATGTAACAAAAAAGCGAAAAGAAAAGGACTTGAGAAATTATTTTAAGAAAAAAAACACTAAAAGGGTATTTTGTAAAAACGAACCTGCTTAAAACTAAGAAACTGCACTATTGGGCTTTATGTTACGGTAAAATGATAAGATTATATCTTAATATTACCGGAGTAAAAAATAGCAGAAATAGCATATAATTTGAATTCTTTATATTTACTTTTTATGTTAACTCACCTTACATATCTTTTTACTTTGTTTTTTTTTATCATGTCATCTTGCACATTTATTATATTTTTTCGAATCTCTCCTTACGTTTTTGAATGACAAGACACAAAGGGCAAAGGCGAATAAAAGAACCTCAATTTACTTGTCAGCAACCTCTTGAACATTCGAAAAGACACAAACATTACAGAGCACAAAGATACAGAGTGAGAAGGAAACGAAAATGAAAGAACTTGTGAAGACATCATCATGTTCACAGCCAAAAACCTGATCCTTTTGACCCTTATCTCATACATCCTTTATACACAAAAACAATTCAATTCACCAATATTAAAACTGTGTCCCACCCCAACGGGTCCCCCACTATTGAAACCATTTATTACCATTTTACCCCTCGACCCCTTTATATTCGAACCTTCCCTCACCCCTTCCCTCTCCCACATGCACCCTCTCTCTCTCTCTCTCTCTCTCTCTCTCTCTCTCCGTTAACATGGCAAAAGGTGGGAAGCTAATGAAGCTAAAGTCAGTGCTCAAAAAATGGAACTCCTTCGGTAACGGCAAGCAGAGCCGCCACAGCATCAGCGCCGTCGCCGCCGACGAGGGGTCCTCCTCCCGGTCAGACCTCCACGCCGTCTACGTCGGCAAGTCCCGCCGCCTCTACCGCGTCACCTCCGACGTCGTCGACCACCCCGTCTTTCGCGAACTCGTTGAAAGGTCACGTGACTCTGCCCCACCTCAACACGACACCATCAATGTTGCCTGCGAGGTTGTCCTCTTCGAACATTTGCTATGGATGCTTGAAAACGCCGATTCACAACCTGAGTCACTAGATGAACTCGTTGACTTCTATGCTTGCTAGCTCATGGTCGCAACCGTGACCGCAACCGCAATTTAAAACATTACACGTGTCACTGCCACATTGCGTTTAAAAAGATTAAAAAAAGAAGAAGTCACGTATGTTATATTCATATATATATATATATATACACAATACTTGCGCATATTTGTGACTTTATTCAATTAGTTGTAATAACTAACATTCGTCCACGAGTTTAATTTAATTTCCTGCTGTACATTTTTTTAAGTTTATTTAGTAAATATTTGGTTAATTTAGATTTTATAATGCGGTGGGGATGGATGTTGAGTTAGTTGTAGTTGTGGAGTTGATTGAGCGTTGGAGGCTCCAATCAATGTAATGAATGGGAAATTGTACGCAATGTTAAGTGGTTGTTCAATTCTTTTTCAAGGGAAAATGTTTTGTTTTACTTGTGAAACGAATGTGTTTGTCCATAAGTTTGCATTTTTAGATAAATGTTAGTGCTTGTGTCAGAGTTGAATTAATGTGAATGGGATGACACCGAAACGATTTTTGTCCGAGAATCATATGTCGCATTGCAAGCTTCAATTTTGGAACTTCTTTATCAGATTCCTGAAGTGGGTGTTTGGTTATAACAAAAGAGCATTATTATTGGAATTGCGCGCAAATTGGGCCATAGGGACTCATTTTACTAATTGAAGAAAATGGAAACTGACATGGTGGCTACTCTCCTACTTGCTACCTTTCCCTTCCATTAACCAAGAAGATGCCATGAAATGAGACTCTAGAAATTCGATTGATTGGCCACTGATGGGTTTCATTTACATATGCCACACTTTGCCTAGCTATATTCACTAGTTACATCACCTACAGTTATTTGGGACAAGGTAACATGCGTTGTGTACAAAGTACAAACAGTGCCAACAAGTATTTTCTATGCTGGCCTAAATTTGCAATCGAGCCTGTTTCTCTTTCACAGTCCGTGAATACCCCGCAATTAAATATGGAATAACTTTTCACAACTCAAGCAAGTCAATTATATAGTTGTCCATTGAATCAACCTTCTTTTCCAGTTAATATTCTGCTAACTGTTAAAAAGTTAACAAATTCATATTTTAAGTTAAAATGTATGGTTTCTTTATATAAAAATAATACCTAAATATTCCAAGAGATGCTAGTAAGAGATTTACTACCAGCCTCTAGGGAGATACTCCAATGAATTAAAATATTATTCCACCTGTTCATATCAGTGACTTTGCTCTTGCGTCATCATTTCTATTTGACATTGAAGAACCAACGTCCTCTCTTGATCAAAAATCTGAAATTAGCATTTATTACTAGCCACTACACCAAATCATTCATGGGTTGGTGAAGTAAATAAATTTCTTTCTCTTGGTTGTTGGCTGGGGTGGAGAACATGCTGATGCATCTAAGCCACATATAATAATAAAAAAAAATATAATATGATTTTTTTAATGTGTGTGTATATATATATATATATATATATATAAGTTCTTGTTATATATTCTTTAACATGCAATAAAAGAATTGTATATGGTATAGAAAACCTGCAGCAAGTGGCAGCTGCAGAAAAAAGTTCATATTCTGGGACAGCAGTGAAGTCAACTGCTTTTAAGGATGCAGGGACCAGAAAGCAAAGCTTCTGCATTCATAAAGTTGATAAGCTTACTATTATATTAACAAAGGAAGGTCCGGAATATTGTTAAATGCTATAATTAAGGAAGAGATACATACTATCTGCCAGAGATACGCATACTTTTTGAATACTAATCATTGGGTTGTTAGAGATGCCTTGGTTTTGCCCAATAAATTACTGACACACTCACACGCTCCCCGTAGCAAATTGCTGATTAGTGAAACAAGGAAAAAAAACAGAGCTTTTCGTTAATCTGATTGAGGACTTCAGATTGGGCATTAAGTGGATGACACGAAAGTTGTTTAATGCACGCATGAGTATCTCTAAGATACATGAAACGCGTTGCCAAGCTGCCATTGCCACCCCATAAGGCGTAAGATGTTGAATTACTTCCGCACCACAACAATATTGGTATGGTGTGTGAGGAATAAAATATTTTAAATGTGGATTTATTCAGTTAATATAATAAAAAATGAGCATAAGGAATTATATGACAGAAACGAAATAGTAATAACTCACAATTATATATATACATATATATATATATATATAGATTATGTTAAAAAAGATTATTTTATTAACTTTTAAAACTCATGAATATACTCATAGCTTACTATAATAACTCACAATTATATATTATCACCACTAAAAATAATAATGACTTACACTTAAAGCGATACAAATTATTATATATATTCAAGACATTTCATGAACTTTTTATTTTTATTTACAATTTTTAAAATATTAACAATCAAGAATAAATTTTTCTGTCAACAGACTTTCTATTGTTAACGTTCACAAAGTCTAAACTATATTTAAACAACGTAATTGATAGATTATTTGGATTGACTAATTATATTTAAAAAAAATTCAATCTAATATTAATAAAGTTTATGTTAACAATAATTTATAACTCATAATAACAATACATAATTTTATATTATAATTAGTTAAAAAATAATGGTTGAAACTCAATAAAAATAAGTTATTAGAAAATTATTATATAAATTTAAAAAATCTTGACAAAGAATTACGATATTATGATGTACCATAATTTTATGTATAATGAACATATATATGTTCTCTTATTTACTTATTTTAAAGGAAACTCACTTTAATTATGGTATTATTATGATTTAGAAAAGAGAGGTTGTGTTTGGAGTTATTTGAGACACTAGTTTGTGTTCCCTGTAAGCTGGGTCACCGGATCATTATTTTTTTCGTTTTTATAATGATAATTTTTATAGGAATGTACATTGCAGAGCGACAAGATAGTTGGCAGAGTCTTTGTTTCTCTTGAAAGGGTGGGGTTTGAACTTTGCAGCTTTTGAACTTTGAACAGAGCCTGCCAGCTATGCTTCATCTTTAGTGTCTTCAAAATTTAGAATTAACCACTACGTACCCACCATTAGAATACTCTAGAAGGAAAAAGGAAAAAAAAAAAGAATAAAAGGGAAGATTAACATAAAACAAAAGGGAAAACAGAGTTGGAAGACAATGGAAGAGAGGATGGAAGGAAATATTTTAATTAATAGAACCCAAGACATCTTTCCTTCAGTGGGGTTAAGTTGAATGAATAACAATGTTTCTTGAACCCGTATCCCCTTTTATATCTTATATTTATTATCGAAATATGTATATTAAAATATAAAAAATAATGATATAAGATTTTTACTAATTTTTTGCAAAAATATTTATAAAGAAATAAAAATATTTTTATAAATAAAATTTTATTTATATTTTTTATAAATTTTTTAAAAGTACATAAATTGAATTTAGTTTAATTTATCTTATCTTTTAATTTTTTTTCTCTTTTAAATACTCTTACAAAGATTTATCCAAATTAAACCTAATTCTAATAACAAAACTTAAATGATTCTAATAACAAATTAAATATTGTCAAAAGAATATACAGTATAATTGATCCCAGCTGCTGAAAGATCAGAGGAATGCGAGATCATGCAATTCACACTTCCAACTTTTAGGTAGTCATGATCTATAACGACAATTCATATAATTTTGACAAAACCACTCGTGTCTTGACCAACTAGTGTTAGATCATTCGTATAACGCTTTCATGAACCATGCGGAATAATGATTGGAAGGAACCACTAAAAGTTAACTGAAGAAATAGACCTGATATGGAATTAATGGTGTAATAAGGATATGTGTTCAGAAGAATTACAAAAAATCAAGGATTCGTTTACAACATTGAAAACTTAAAAACCTTACTATTATTGAACATGTATCCAGTTTTGAACCCTTCAAAAATGTTACAAGAGTATAATTGATAACATTTGATTAAAAATTAGTTATTTTATTTGCACATTATTTTTAATTAGCAAATATATTGTGTATATCATACAAGTTTTCTTTAATTTAGATAAAATTGTAAAAAATATTTAAGAAAAATGTATTTAAACATAAACAAATATATATATATATATATATATATATATATATATATATATATAATTCAAATGAACAAATAAAACTATATAAGCAATTTAGATTTATGTAAAATTAAAAATAAAATTAATAATTTGAAAATACAAATAGTTTAACAATGAAAAAATAATTTTTAAAGAAAATTAAAATCTTTAAAATTGACTTAAAATTTGAAAATAATTTTTTAATTTAATTGATGTAAAAAATATTAAATAACCAAGATATCACATTTCACTCTCAAAAATAAATATTTCTTTTATTACGCAGGGATATATATACATCCTTTATATCACCTTTTTTCATTTTGGGTAATAAAACAAGAGAAATAGGTTTCTGTATATGTTTTCTCTCAAAAAAAGTATTAACAGAATGGTTAGCAAAAAACTTGTATCTTAAAATAATTTCCAATCAACCATGCAAAGCATGTAGGACAAAAAATGGATAACGCCCCCTTGGGATCGACGACGTATCACTACTATTCGTAGTTGATTATTGAACCAGAATAATACGACTGAACTTTTCCTACGACGCATTTTCCTTATTCCCACAGTCCTTGCATTGCATGTTTCTATGTGATCTCAACCCTATATATCAATAATATCATTCATTCTTATATACGATCTAATCTCAAGTATCGACAACTTGTATACTATTGCATTCTGTAGACCTGCCTTGCGATCAATTCCAATTTCCAACATTTTATGATCATTTATAGCTTGATCAATGAATTTCGGCTACTGTTGATGGATGCCAATGCCATGCACTCCAAAAATAGATATTAGTTTTTTGTTTTTTTTGTTTTTTTTGCCAAAAAATTACATCGTATACCATCTTACTTTGATGTGTTTGATCTCTAATGTTTTAGAAAACTGGCAAGGTGCCTTGGCAGACATACCATTGTTGAAAGGTTATCAATTACCACCATCATATGATCGAATGGGTAATCTCTAATTCTCCATATAGCATCCTTAAGGCATATTCATACCAATG